TCTGCCTCGGTACCACAGAACGCGTCCAGCAACGGCTGGAGATGGTCTTGGCATCTTCGTGGGACACGTCAATACCGGATTTGACTTGCTCCATGCTTGAGCCGAGTATGTACTCCAAAGCGAGACCTCGAATGGCATCGGTGATGGGGTAGACGAGCGTGTAGGCGAAGGATGACAGTCCCTTGCAGGCGCCACAAAAAACGATATGCCGCCAGCTCCGTATCGTACTCATGCAATTTCCACAGCCAGGTAGAGACTTCCCACATCCAATCCTCCCAATCCTTCCTTTATCAGGCCAGTTTCGGTTGCCGTAGTATCGTATGAGCTTGAACCAGTTGACTATGGCCCTGGACTGGATATCGCGTACGGCATCTCGAGCTTCGATAGCTGGTGTCCATTGTATGTCCGAGCTAATCTCTGCACTGCGATATCCCAGTCTGCGATCGGCTAGCTCGAGGATGAATGGCGCGCTGCCGGACGGGTGCTGAACAAGGAGAATGACTGCACAGGTGGATGGCTGGAAGTGCTTGATAACTGTAGCAGTGGAAGGCTGCAGAGCTGTTTGTTTAGAACAGTAGAAGCTTTGCACTAAGTAGATACAAGTCGTTGACGTTGGAGAAAAGCAAATAAATAGGATTTTTCAAACTGCTTCAATGGAATGACGAACTTTGTATTGGCGCGATAGAAATACAACGTCGTCCACGCTCCGAGTCGCGTCAGATATGGCATACATTGGATAACGGAGTTAAGTGGTAAGAGAGATGGTTACGAGTCTACTATATGAAGCAGATCTGAGGACTTGTTCGTTGCCCACTGCCAGGGCGTCGTGTTGTGCTCCAATGAAGGCCACGTGGGAGGCAAGTAGATATTATTAAATAAATATTTACCGACTATTCCTCTAACAGTACCACCACCGTCTGAGCATTCTTCCTGATGTTCTCTCAAGTCCAAGCTACCTCAGTGTCTATCCCTTTCGCCAAAACTGTATCATTGCTCCTCTCCGACTGCCAGAACAACGGGACAACAACCTGTTCTCAAGTCCATATCACCAAAGGTCGGTACATTCCTTTGTTGAATCCGGAATAATAGACTAGCGTCTCACCGGCGTCTCCAGAGGCCCCTTCGCACAAACTAAAAGGCGGAAATCGCGTCGTACTCAACCGACCCAACCTGGACATTTCTCGAATATGAATTGGACTGACCATGAAACGGCTCCAGACTTTAGCCTGACCATCTTTTGTATTCCCGAGGCCGTTTTTCATATGCAGCACACATATAAACTCACCGACCTGCCACCAGCGCTTGACATTGTCAGCAGTCACAAAGCAGCTTCACTCGCCACAAAGGTACGTCAACAACAAAAGTTTTATTAACTTACAGCTTGCATTTCTTACATTCAATTTTAGAAGTAATGACTTATATCCCCCTGGGACAAGACTCCACGACATTTCGACCTCTGGTTGCTAAAATCGTCAAACGGCTGGAGCCTTTCACATCCTCCGTCCTTCTCATTCAACAAGTTTCCGACGGCAAACAATTTATGCTAAAGCTAAATGACCGTAGACTGGGCCATCATCACAGCCTCAATATGGAGGATGGCAAGTTCCCGTGGACGACGGCTCTTGAAGAGCATCTACGAGCAGCCGTGCAGAACATACAACTCGGAACGACCACCAACTGGTTCGACCTCATCAAAGATTGGAAGCACCCTGCCCAACCCGATCTGAATGACTGGGAGGACTGGATGTGGGAGATATCGACGTGGACTTCGAGAATGGAAGAACATTAAACCGAGGTGAAGGCATATCGTTTATTGCGCCGACTACAGGGTCGTCTCATTCTCCGCTTCTACGGTCTCGTCCATCTCCCTATTTCTTCCTCCCAGCCTCTTCACCCAATCTCGAATTACATTCCCTGCCTCATTATCGAGTACATCCAAGGTGTGAGGATGGGCTCGCTCAAACCCGGTGTTGATATCCCTCGACCGGAGGCAGAAGCGCTTGCTGACCTTGTTATGGACACCTTCCGGACGATGAAGGCAGAGAAATTTGTGATGCACAATGATATACACATCGACAATATTCTTCTGCGAGACTCGGACAGGTCCCCGGTCCTTATTGACTTTGGATAGGCCTTGACGAGGAAACCAGGGATGAGCGATGAGGAGCGGGAGAATTCGGTTTCAGCGTCTCAGGATACGCGCTTTGCGCGTAGGGTTCTTATGAGTAAAGATCATGGGGTGTGGAGAAGGAAGGGCACGCCGGTGCTGATGAATTACTATTATTCTGCGCTAATGTGGAACGAATACGTCGAGGACCAGCCTGAGGATTATTGCAGACAGACGTTCGAGAGGGTCCCGGGTACGGATTGGGAAGGTGCAAGAGAAGAAGTACTGCAGTGGCGCGTCAAGCCGGGTATTCAGTGCAGAGATGACTGGGTGTTTAAGGTGGGTTCACTTCAGAGTCATTCATACATCATGCTGACAGAGCTCAAAGGCGTTCGGCGGGGACCTTGCATGTCAAGCGTATCAAATGTTGTTTCCCAATGTCGAGGGTCTGCCATGACTAGAACTCGTGAAAAAGACACATCGTCTCATTTACGCAGTATGTCCACGGAATTACAGCCTTTGTTGGTTCTCAACGGCATTATACCTCTATGACTACAAAGACTATCATATGGCAGGTCTTTCTTTACGAGCTGCCTACAGAGCCAGTCTTGGGTCGAGTGAATATGGTAGTTGATGCAGCAGTGGTTTGTAACCATCTACAGCGGCCGAAATACGTAGAGTAGGAGTAGTACGTCAAGCACTACAATAATCCTATCTAGCGCGGGCTCAACAGCAATAGAATCTTGACGTAAATGGGAGTGATCGCAAAAACGCGATGGTCTGCAACGTTTCTTGCCTGCTCCAGCTCGATTTTAGTGACAAATTTCGGTACAGCTGCAACATCCAAAACTTCGTCGTTGTCATTCTCTTCGTCAGTCCGAATAAATCTGAGGGACACTATACATCTGAAATCAAGCGCGAGCTAATGTCTGCTAACAAAATATGAAAGGGAGAAGGTGAACGCCAACTGCGTTCCACTCCCGACCTCGTACAATTCATTCCTCGTGATCATTGATATGAAGAGACATGTATATATGCCGTTTTTATGTTAAGTTTTGAAAGCAATCAAGTAAATGGCGATATTGGTTGATGATGTTGTTATTTATGTTGTGCTATTGGCGGAATGGCGGAACATTAGGAATCCTGCAAGTAGTGATGAAGAATGGAAGAGAAATGTCCGTGGAGGTCTAGATGCACGCTACATGAGGAGGCTTCCTGTGGATTGCAAGAACGGGCCCTGGAAACGGACTGTGATGCCATGTAAAATGTCGGACCGGCTGCACTATAAGAAACCTTTGGCATTCAATGAATACGTGGAAAGTATGCCTGAAGACTTCAGTAGAGCGCCGTTCGACAGAGTTTTGGACAGGGATTGGGATGGAGCGAGAAAGTGAGCTAGTGGCGTATCAAGCTAGGCGTTCGTTCAAGTTGTAGGCCTTGGTACGACTTCGGGCAGACGGCGCACGTAAACGATTTTGTGGACTAATGTAGCACCGAGCCTTGATCTGCAAATACAATTGGTCGAAGGGGTGATAGTCCCAGTCCGTGGATGCGTTTAGGAGGCGGATAGGTCTTATCAGTTAGTCGTGCCGTGCTCGGGTTGCTCCGTCAATGGACTCAGAGGCATCGTTGTAGTATTATCGTCTTTCTTTTCGAGTTTGCGGATTTGGAGGCATAGCAGGACGTGTTTGAAGCAACATGAAAGGTTTACAAGCGTCTCAAAAATATGTATCGGTGCCTGTCTCTCTTCAGTCAATGTGATCCTCTAGCAATGAAAACAACTTACGTTGCAGAGCTGAGGACGTGCATAGTTCCCGCTGAGTTCTTTGATAAGAGTAAAGGAAACAAGACGTCCGAGGCGATATAGAAGATCAGAAGATATATCGAAGGGGAGACCTAGGATGCAGACAAATCTGGCTCATGTTAAAAAATGCTCGACCATCTGGAAGAGCAGAACTCATGAACATACGGTCAAGCGAGAAAAGGCGCTAAGCCCTTGCTCGTGCTGACATTGGTGCCGTATGCTCGTGTTGTGCCATCATATCAATAATCGACGATAATCCCAAGGTATTTAGCTGCTTGTGCCAAGAGCCACGGCATTTGAAGTAGGCGCGATTTACAGTCCAATGTCGGTGAGGAAAATGTAGTGGATACAGAGTTGAACGTTGTAAGACCAGTCACTGGCGCTGACTCATCTTGACTTCTCTCCATCACCTTCATGCCGTTCTTGGTTGTCGTGTTCTGCGTACAATAATTGGTCCTTATTTCTGAACAAATAGGTCAAATAATGGTGCTAGGGTGCGGGTTGGCGTCGACGGAGGACATATATGTGCTGAGAATTCGTTATACGCTATGATGTTCGCCTTTACTATCTTCTTCTTTCAGGCCCACTAGCGTGATAACATCAAGGCAGACCGCTCCATACTCTTTGTCTCTTTTCCTCGGATTCAGCAGCGGTGGTATGGATTGCGAAGTAATTCGACGATTCCTCCTTGGCCTGAGAGGATACTTGCATGAGGGTTTTCGTTGAAGGCCTCAGCAGTGGAATCAATGTATGCACCGTCCTTCAGCTCCTCAGCCCTATTCCTGTGCAGTGAGAGCAAACATATACCCATAGGTATCTCTCGTAATCCATGTTCTACAGATTCAGAACATCATCTAATAAAGTTGACGACTGTAGGTCCCGGAAGGTGATTGTCGATGTAATATAGCGAATCTAGGAAGGCGATGTTCTGTGCCGCATCGACCTCGCTAGACCATCTGAACCGGGGTCGATGGTATGCCTGCCTGGATCTCTATGACGAAAGACGGATCCGTAGGCACTCCTTCTGTTCATACGTATCGTCACTGAGTATGAGCGGTATCTTCAGGGTTGCTGAACGCACGCTCATGACAAGGTTTTAAAAAAAGGATGACAGGTGGAATAGGCGATATCGGCCCAGACGAAGTGGGTCCCGAACTCTGTTTAGGTTTTTGAACAAAACCAGTTGGATTGGCTCGTTCGAGCTCCAGAGGGGAAGGATTCGCAGCCACTATGTATGTTCAGATACGAAGGAACCCACATCGCGTCACTCTTCACTACCGATTCCTTTCCCCTTCCCTACCTTGCACACGGTTTCTTGATTTTCGGTACGGAGGTGGAAAGGTCGTGGGACTGCAGGTTCTCATCAAGAGTGAACCTCAGTCCCATGCATCGGGCTAGCCAGCATCACGCGTTCCAAGGGAGACAAGGATCGGCAGTTACTCCGACTTGCTACTTGTACGATCGATCTATGCTGACAAACAGCAGAACGAGGCGCTGCGGTCATTGCGACCTTCCTAGTCCTAGTCACCAATGACTAAACGCTGGCAATGCATATAGGCATGATGTCGAAAGAACATTGAATAACGGTCGATATGACACTTGTCTGAGAAAACGGTATGAAATAGGCAGCGTTGCTCTCTTTCCTTGGACTTGCCGATGAAAATATGCTTATCCTGTTTTGGTTTGGGGCAATAGATGCTCAAGGACCAACAGAGCAGCCCTCGAGTAACGGTGCGACTGTCGCTCGTCATTGCTCCGAAATAACAGTTAGCCCCGGGGCATCGGGCATATATCGACAATGTCATGCATGGACAGAACCTTGTCCGTTCCGGGAGACAAGGATCTGTGGTTGGGCTGACTTGCCCATCCTCTAATCAATATGCATGCACAGACTACTGGGCAACATGCTGTTGTCCACAAGCAATCCCCGACGTCGTGATCATCAACCATGGGCAGGACGTCGATGTAGAATATGTATATGAAGGTATTGGGAGATTAAAATGACGGTCGTTGCGACATTGCCTAAGACGGTCGGATGATGCGCTATCTGATGGTTGTTTTGGGTTGTTGTAACACATCGAACGACGTCGACCCTCTTACCACTTCTAATTCACCCGTTATCTTGCTATACCCCTTTTTCGACATTACGCTCAGCAAATTACTTGATATCTTATCTTACTCACCCTATCCTTCCCGGTTCCCTCCATATTTGATTTCTCTACGAGTATATAAACCCTCCTTGTGTTAGATTAGATGACTTTTTCTCGAATCGAAGTATCGCTTACCTGGTCTTTGCTTTGCTCGACTAAGGGTCCTCGCGTGATGAAACCGTGATGTGTCTCGCTTTCGTTACACATTTTTGACCTCTTCGATACCTCGAACCACTCGACTACTACTGCGACAAGCCAACAACAACAACGAGCCTCGGTGGATGCTGTCACTAGGAACCCTTCGGCCTGATCAACCGGAACGACCTCGACAACACCCATCAAACAGAATCTCCTCGCTTTTCTTCCACCTTCTCTCTTCTCTGCTTACTTCTCTTAATACCATGTTTGGCTCAACCTACCAGCTCTGCAGCACAGGGAACGTCGCCATACCGGGTGACTGGTCCATGAGCCCAACTCGGGCTGCTTGTCGTGCTCAGGAAAATACCCAGGGTGAGTCTTCTGTTTCTGAATCTTTGTCTGACCTTCCTTCCCTGCCTCTAGACAGCATGGCCCTTGATGGAGGGCGTGCTGACAGTGGTGCTGACGAGCACACTGTTGTGAATCTGGATCCCGCCGATGAGCTGTCGACTGGGGATAGGAGCGCTGACCATCCCAGAGTGGATATGGGTCAAGACACTGAGACTGGACCCCGTATGCCGGAGGTTCCAGTGATGGAGCCACCTTCTGAGGTCGTTTCCGATACAGGTCCCCAGGAGGGTGATCCTGTGATGCTACCAGAGCATAACAATCCGGTTCTGACCGGGGGTGATCCCCAAGGAGAGGGTGATTGGATGACGGTCACTGGGAGATCACCTCGTTGTAGGACTAGCACGTCCTCAGCTACTAGTAGTACTGATAATGTACTCACACCTTCACACAATAGATTTGTTGTTCTTGATGAGGAACATCTGCATGAACAGCCTGAGCTGACATCCGCACAATTAAGTACCATTCAACAGGCTGAAGCCTTGATACCTGATGAGACCAAGGAAATCATGGACAGACATAGGGAGGCTATGGGATTGGCCAATCAACCAGTGCCTTCCTCTTCTCCAGATGCCAGACCTCAGGATAAAGGCAAAATAGTTGACTACCACAATAAACTTGCCATGCTTCCAGGATTCACTAGTAATGACTTCAATGTTAACAACCAACATCGAGCTCTTAGTTTCTGGGAAGCACTTCAGAATGAATCGACTGAGGTACAATGCTTATTGCTTGAAGAAGCTGCTACTCGATTACAATGATCCTCGCAGTCAGGTGACATGACTGTGGTGACTAGTAATGGCACTGCAATCAATGAACCTAGTACAGAAAAGGTCCCAAGTCAACCGACTACAGCTCAAAAGACACCAGAACAGCATAGGGCTTGCTCAGTGCATGATATACTCTAACTCCTTGGAGGCTCATATAGACTTAGAAATCATCTTTGATATTCTTCATCATCAATGGCTGTATCTATCTGAGAAAAAATGTCATGCTCTGGCTGCTGAAATCACTATCCTTGGACACTGTTAGGAACATGCCAATTGAGTGGGCTTGAGTGTATGTGTAGAGACCAGTGGAGTGTGTGGGCATTAATGAAGCTATTGGCAACATTCCCCTTGAGTTGGGCCCAAGGATTTGGATGGACAGAATGGAGTTCTGTTGGTGGAGTGAAGGGTATCCTTCAGAGTGGAGTCCATTGGATGAGGTAGAGAGGAGTTGAAGTGAGCATGAAGTGTGAATGGCTATCCAAGTTGTTGGGATTTTGCTGGAAAGTTCTAGAAAGGGCAATCTGGCATCATGCCAAGAGTTGATGAGTAAGCTCAAGAGAAAGAGAAAGTTGTAGTAAGTTCTAGATATAAGTCTGGAGAGTATAAATACAAGCTCTGTAGGAGCTGTAGAACAAGAAGTTCATACCATCTGGCCTTACCAGTCTGGAGTCTGTCCTGTGCAACACCAAGGATTTCCAACACAAGTTGATATTTGAACTGAGTAGTTACAATGATTATACATGGCTTTATATACTAATGGTAGCTAATTCCAAGTTGGGTTCCATTGGGTTCTGATGTCAATATTCACTACTGAGTTTGGGGTCTAGATATTACAATGTGAAATATGGATGTGAAATGATAATGGTGAAAATGAAATTAATAGGTAATAGGGAGCAGCCAGAGTCCAGTGGGTTTCTGTGATTGCATTTGTGGTTGGTTGAGGTGACATGGAGGCCAGCAGAATGCACATAACAGTATCCCCTTATTAGTGTTCTTGCCCTCAAGAGTGCAGATCCCAATGGCTAGTGGATTCACATGAAAGATTGTTGGTGGTCATGGGAATTTTTTGCAACTTAGTCAGATATCACCACCATTGCCCTAACTATGTTGCCTTCCACCATGTATTGTCACTCACATACTCCTGAGCCTTTGGTGAGGAAACCCACCCCCAATGGCCCTGAAGAAGCCAAGGAATTATTTTGTCTGGAATGGCAGACCATGGAGGAAGAATATGTGGAGGCCATAGAGAGCCATTTGGAATGGCAAGGAGAGTGGGAGTGGGAGGAGGTCCAGCAGGCTGTAGAGTGATAGGCTAAAGAGATGAAGGAGGTGTTGAGAGAGACAGCTCAAAGAGAGGCTGAGGAGAGAGAGGCCATAGAGGCCATAGTGAGGGCTTCAGTCTCAGAGGTAGGGCAGGAGGAGATAGTTATAGAGAATGGATTGCAGATGACCCCCATGGAGGCCATTGATTTTTGGCTGCATCAAATGCTGGCAGAATGGTTTGGTCCTGGCCCCAGTCTTTGCTTTAAAAAGGTGACTGGCCATATGCCTCTGGAGTCTGATGGTGAGCAAGATAAGGGGACTGAGAGGGACAATGAGTCAGAAGAATCTGAGAGAACTCTAGAGAGGAGAAAGAGAGTGTGAGAGGGAAAGAGAAAGATGGTGGGTCCAGCAGAGAAAGGCCATAAATGCAAGTTCAGATTGAGAAGCATAGTGGATGACAGTGGAGCAGAGGTGATTGCTAGTCCCAAGAAGCAGGCAAAGTAGAAAGTGGTGGGACTGGCAGAAGGCAAAGAGTTGTTGGATGATGAAAGTAAGTGTCTTGGTTTTCTTGCATGGTTTGACTTAGCTTTTGTTCTCAGAAAGCTGTGTGTGCTGTCACTAAGATAGTGCTTATTATTATGCACATCCAGCCACTGAAGTTGCTGGGCATGAGTGGACTTGCACATATTGCAAGATTAAGAAGACCACCTGTTTGTTCAACCAGAGTGTCACTGCAAGCAAGGTGATTAGTAGCATGGAGGTCTCCACTAGTCTCCACCAACTTTCAAAATTGATATGCAAGTTGATACATCATGTGGATGAGTTGGCAGATGTTCATGGTACTGTGGCAGGTCTTCAAGACAACTATAGTTCCAATGATATGTCATCTTCTTTGAAGCTGTTTTCGGAGTCTGAGATGGAGGCCTGAAAGAAGGTCCAACTGATTTTTAAGGATGAGGGGAATTAGGAGGTGGAGGATCTTCAGGAGATGATGTTAAAGAGGCTGGACAAGGACATAGAGGAGTTGAAGGAGCAGGGAAAGAGTTTGGGTTCTGATGTAGGTCCATCAGGTTCTGCTTCTTTATAAAATATATTTTGTACAAAATGTATATAGAAAAGAGTGTCAGATGTTGGTAGTAGACAAAAATATAATTGTAAGATTTTTTGACTTTGAAAGTGTAGAAGAAGTGATTGAATGATGGTAATTAGTGGTTAGAATTAAAATAGTAAGGTGGGGTGCTAGTGGTGTCCAGAGTAGTATTGTATTAGGAATGGGATGTTTGAATGACCTTGAATAAGGGTTCTAGTTTGCCTGAGTATTGATGGTGGAAGTCTTTAATGAATTTATTGGCAGAGAACTCAGAGACTGGTAACCAAGCAAATTCTTCATTGGTATCTTTATAGTATAGCCACTGGATCTTGTACAGCAGTGGGCAGTGGAACCAGCAGTCCAGTTTAGAGTCAAGGATTTGGGCTATTTCAAAATGTTCTTCTCTGTTGACTTCAACTGGAGGTGGCAGTGGTTGGATTCAGTTAGGAATGGTGTTTTCTTCTACAGGTTCTAATTGTGACATATAGAAGACTGGGTGAATAGACTGGAGATCTGGCAAAAGCCTCAGCATGAAAGAGTGGAAACCTGGTTGGACTATGATTTCAAAAGGGCTGAGGTATTTCTCCAAGAATTTTTTGGTCAGACAGGTGGTTTTGATATGTTTGAAATTGAGGTAGACCTTATTTCTCACTGTGAATAGGGGCACTGGAATCTGATGCTTGTCTGCTTGGATCTTGTAGCTAGTCTGAGCCTTAGAGATTTTGTCTTTTAATATTTGATGGAGTTCATCAAGATCAACTGCAAAGTCTTAAGCCTGAGTGAAGGCAATGTCCCTTTCAGAGTGAATGGTGATGTTAGAGTGGTAGCCCTTGTTGGCAAAAAATAGAAAAATTCCAGTGGATGCATTAGAGGCATTGTTGTATATAAACTTAGCAATGGGTAGAAGAGTGTCTCAGTTGTCCTGTTGGTAGGAGCAGTAGATGCAGATGTACTGTTCCAGAGTTTGGTTTGCCTGTTCAGTTTGTCTGTCAGCCTGTTACGCGCATGCTGCCGGCCTCCGTGTCACCTCAACCAACCGCGAATCCAATCACACCACCCACCGGACTCCGACCGCTTCCCATTACCTACTAATTTCATTTCACCAGTATCATTTCACATCCGTATTTCACATTGTAATACCTAGACCCCGAACTCGGTAACGAATACCCACACCGGAACCCAATGGAACCCGACTCGGAATTAGCTACTATTAGTATATAAAGCCATGTACATCACCGTAACTACTCAGTTCGAATATCAACTTGGATAAGCCATCTACACTTCGTACTCACTCCTCCCTATCTCATCCGTCGGATTCCGCTCCGAAGGATACTCCTGTTCACTCCTCTGACAGAACTCCGTTCTGTCCATCCAGATCCTTGGGCCCCGACTCAAGGGTGACGTTGCCAATAGCTTCGTCAACGCCCACGCACTCCGCCGGACTCCGCGCGTGCACTCAAGCCCACTCGATTGGCACGTTCCTAACACAGCCTCCAGATGGTAACCAGAAGTAAGATGGAGTTCCATGTCAAGAGCTATGGCTAAGGTGCAAGTAAATTAGAAAACAAATTTGGAGCCACAATCCAAGATGATGTGACTGAGTACTCTATGTTTGGAGAACACATGGATAAGAAAAAGTTGGGTGAGCTCTGCAGAGTTAATGGTGTCATAAGTGGGGATGAAGATGGCTTGCTTGCTAGCTTGGTCTATGACTACTAAGATGGCAGTAAATCCATTGGAGTCCAGTAGTTGTTCAATGAAATCCATGGAAATGGAATCTCATAGCCATTCAGAGACTGATAGAGGTTTGAGTAACCCATAGGAGCAGTATCTAGGTGCCTTGTTGCATCCACCAACTGTGCAGAACTTAATATAGTGTCAAATATATTTGTGCATCTTTGGCCAGATATAATTCCACCAAATGAGCTCTAATACCCAGTTTTGACCAAAATGGCCTGCCAAGATGTGGTCATAATTGTTCTGTAGTATATGGAGATAGAGATCTTCAGACTCCAGAATATAGATGTGGCCTTCAAAGTGGAGGATGTCTGATTCATCAATGGACCACTGAGAGAGAGAGAATTCTGAAGTGGTCTTAGCCTAGCAGAGGCCATTAGAGGATTTAGGGTCAGAAGATTGTGCTTGTTTGATATCAGTGTGGAGCTTATCAATGTCCATGATGGCACTGGCTCAGAGAGTAGGGTCTTCAAGGTAGGTTGTATGGAGTGATACAGAAAGTTGTTCTTAGGTGAACACTGGTTGGAAATTGTGGGGATTGACTTGAGCATATTGGCTATCCCTCTCTTTAGAGTAGACATCCTATCATCTAGTAAGTGCATCTGGTTTCCCACCAAGTTTTCCAGATCAGAACCAAATTACTAGATTGAACTGAGATAAGTATTCAGACTAGCAGACTTGTCAGCAGGTTAGAATCTTGGTGGCAAAGTATTTGAGGTTCTTATGGTCTGTTATAATATTGATGGAGTCCACAGAGCCTTCAAGGTAGTGCTGCCAATGTTTAAAAGCTTCAAAAATGGCCAGGAGCTCCTTGTCATGAGTGTCATAGTTGAGTTTGGCATTGTAAAGACTCCAGGAGCAGAATGCAATTGAGTGAATTTCACCATCTTTGAGATAGATG